GAAAATCTAGGACTTAGGCACATACATATTAATCCTCTTCATCCACTTTCAAAACATGACAAATTAGCGATGCCCTTTTTACTTCGACATCAAGTGGATGAAATGGATAATCACGGCATGCGAAAATGGCGAGAGGCTGGGTGTAGCTTGATGGGACAAAGATGAATCCCTTTTCCCACGAAAAACAAGTTCGAATTTCCATAACTGAGTTATGAGCGGACGCGACTCCCAAGAACCTCTTTGTTCTTACTTGCAGGATTTTTGGTCTATGCAACAACTACGGTTATGTAATTATGTTGAGCGCTGCAGAGGACATTATGGCTGCCCAGGAGGGAGGCAATGTTACCAAAGAAATTCAGAACTGTGAGGTAATTTTACCTCATGATTGCGCAAGCAACATGCTTACCCTTCGATTCAACTGGACTGGCGGCTAGGCGGAAGGCGGGGCTGCAAGGCCTAATCAAGGCTAGACAATGATTAGAGGACAGGCTCACGAGAGAGACGCAGACTGCTTTGCTAGAGCCAACGTTCGCCTTCCAGCCGCCAGTACCGATTGAAAAGAGAATGTTGTGTTAACACCAACCTATGTATGACATGTCTAATCATTTTGAGGACCACATCACTTCTCGGCATTGCACAACTATCTCTACTGGAGCTGTGCTTCTTGCAGACAACCTTCCTTCTCTCCTTGTAAAACTTACCTTTCCGTTCTTTATGCATCGGATTCCATTTGTGTGAGAAGAATAAGGTTAGCAATGGCTCTTCCTGAAATTTTCTAGCTTGAATTAGGTTTCGCCACGTGGTGGTTTGCTGCCTACAATCTGCAAGCTACTTCATAGTTGCTTTCTCCGTCAACGTGCCGATGTCGCTTTCAGGAGTTTGTTTCGCAGCCTTCGGATCTGGAATAGGAGAGATCAGCTATCTTGCCTTGGCTTCTCATTATTCAACGTATGAATTGTGCAATTTCGAGTAGGAGAAAAATGGAAAACTTTTTAACTGCTTGACTTT